TTCGTATTCTTCTCTTAAAAGGTTCGTTATGATTTTGTTTCTATTTTTGTAGCATTGCTTACAAAACTTACGATTGCTAATTTTACTTCCATTTGATTTACAGATTTGGTATCTTCAAACTAAAAAAAAACCCTAAAAACGCACCAAGCACCAAATTCAAAAATTAAATTTAGTGCGAAAGGCACTCGCTGTTTTTCCGCCGGGATTACAAAATTTATTTTATTTCAAGACGTCCACCAAAATATTTCGGAGAAATATTAAGATTTACATGAGCTGGACCGAGTTGAATATACCTCCAAAATTTTAGTTTTTTATGAATAAAAATAATTTCTTAAAGAACTTTTGAAAAAAAAATCCCCAACAGATTAAACTCAAAAATCTGCATAAAAATATTTAAAAATCTTTTCAACGATATCGTAAGAATGAGATTTTTGATGCTGTTTTTTGACTTTTTTCAAAGATTGGTAACGGAAAACTTAAATAATTAAGCCAAAACTATTCCAATTTAGACTTGTGAGGTATCAGTAGAAAGGTATTTGCCCACTCTTTATACAAATGATACCTCACAAATCTAAATCGGAATAGTTAAGGTTCAGTTATTCAAATTTTTCTTATACCAATCTTGGAAAAAATTAAAAAACAGCATTTAATCTCATTAATACGATTCGCTAGAAGTCTTAAAATATAATAGATTTTATAATTCCAATAGAAACACACTACCGATGAGAATCGCTTACCCTTTCGCTTCAAGAAGGCATTATTTTAACATGGGCATGCCATTGGCGGTAAGCCCTTACCACAAGCATTACTTTCAAACGAAGGGAGAATGCATGGATAAACAGAATCCAGAGAAGAGAACAAAGAATGCCTTACAGAGAAACTAATGTGGAATGCCTAGATAAGTACATACTTATTTATATTAAATTGAAATCAGAAAATCTCTTAACAGATGAAAATTCATCAAAATTTTTATAAATGAGTTTTTATACATACATATGTATGTATTTAGGTATTTAGATTTTACTTAAAAATCGGTATGTACGTACATGCATATTTAATTAAGCTTAAAATTGTACTTCCTCACTCCTGTACTTCACTTCATTGATTGAACAAATTGAACAAAGCAAAACATGATTTTTATGCGAGACAAATTTCCCCAGGAAAAAACGGTAGAAAAAGAATTTTTGGATATTGATTCCATTTTTCTGCTGACTACGATGCAGCATTCTACTTTGCATTCCCTGAAATGAAGCAAAGNGAACAAATTGAACAAAGCAAAACATGATTTTTATGCGAGACAAATTTCCCCAGGAAGTAACGGTAGAAAAAGAATTTTTGGATATTGATTCCATTTTTCTGCTAACTACGATGCAGCATTCTACTTTGCATTCCCCGAAATGAAGCAAAGAAGCGAAATAAAAAAATATTGTAGGACATTCTACTGTGCATTCCCTGAAATGAAGCAAGGAAGCGAAACAAATAAAATATTGTACGATATTCTACTTTGCATTCCCCGAAATGAAGGAAAGAAGTGAATTAAAAAAGAAATATTATAGGACATTCTACTTTGCATTCCCCGAAATGAAACAAAGAAACGAAATAAATAAAATATTGTAGGACATTCTACTTTGCATTACCGGCAACGCCTAAAAGAAGCGAAAAAATTCGAAGACATTATAACGCTATGCCTTCTAGAACACGTTACCACTAAAAGCGATTACCGGTTTTTTGCTGGGTATGTATGTACATATATAAGAACATTACTTATGAAGAAAATAAGAACAGACGTAGTTATTTAAGTGTGCAGTTACATTCACACACAATTTGACGTTTTATAGTTCTAGATACAGTTATATATTTTGNTTTTTTGCTGGGTATGTATGTACATATATAAGAACATTACTTATGAAGAAAATAAGAACAGACGTAGTTATTTAAGTGTGCAGTTACATTCACACACAATTTGACGTTTTATAGTTCTAGATACAGTTATATATTTTGAAATAAGGTCTTTCGATTGGTGTTATCAGTTTTAAGATATTGACTACAATTTCTTTGATAATTTAGTAAAAATTTTGTTAGTGATGCAGTCATATTAAACTAATCAATATCTAAAAAATGGCGTTCTCCATTTTTGGATATCCCTTTAGTTTCCGAGATATTGAGTAAAAAGTGTCGTTAATTTAGTAGAAATTTTGATCACATTTTGTCGTATTTCATACAAAATGGCTGCCAAATTGTGGACTAATGACGCTTACGAAAAAATTTTACTAAAGAAAATCCTTCATATTCTCAAAACTAATTAGCAATAAACATTAAGGACCGAAAATAATAGTTANTAATGACGCTTACGAAAAAGTTTTACTAAAGAAAATCCTTCATATTTTCAAAACTAATTAGCAATAAACATCAGGGACCGAAAATAATAGTTATTTTCAAAATATCAATTCAAAAAGTCAGTCGGAAAGAATTGGTCTTTTTAACATTTGTATANTAAGGACCGAAAATAATAGTTATTTTCAATATTTCAATTCAAAAAGTCAGTCGGAAAGAATTGGTCTTTTTAACATTTGTATATAGCAATGTGATGCTTGTTAGCCGAGGAATGTTAATCCTATATGATTTATTTTTTTTCACTTTTTTCAAAAAAGTCAGCAATTACCGTTATTTTTTTACTGATATTTTTTCAGTCAAATATAAAAAGTTAAAATATAACTTTTATTTTTTTCGGTCAGATATAAAAGTTAAGGATTGACTTTTATTGTTTCGGTCAACATAGCAGTTTACATATTCAGAATACAATTGTGGTATTCACCAACTTGAGAAAGTGGCCTTGACACTCTAGCAAAAGAGTAGAAGAGCTCAAGCAACGACTGTTGACAACTGGTATTGCTTGAGCTAATCTGCTCTATNAGTTATTTTTTTACTGATATTTTTTCAGTCAAATATAAAAAGTTAAAATATAACTTTTATTTTTTTCGGTCAGATATAAAAGTTAAGGATTGCCTTTTATTGTTTCGGTCAACATAGCAGTTTACATATTCAGAATATAATTGTGGTATTCACCAACTTGAGAAAGTGGCCTTGACACTCTAGCAAAAGAGTAGAAGAGGTCAAGCAACGACTGTTGACAACTGGTATTGCTTGAGCTAATCTGCTCTATCGCCAGACTGCCAGGCCACATGCTCACTTTGGTGAATACCACTAATATGTTTTAACAAAAAGTACACATCCTTTCAATTTCAGGTTTCTATCTTCTGTAAATATATTGAGTTTCTTTACAGAAATGATTCGGAATTCAATTTAATAATTAATATCGCTGCCAAGTTNGCGCATCCTTTTAATTTCCTGTTTCTATCTTCTGTAAATATATTGAGTTTCTTTAATTTAAGCTTTAAATTATTCACCTCTACAGAAATGATTCGGAATTCAATTTAATAATTAATATCGCTGCCAAGTTCTGCTCCGACAAATTGTAATGCAAATCGCTAAGAATAAGCTTAGTGCTGAGAACGCGTGTTCTACGCTGACTTGTGTCGCTGGCACTTGATGTATAATACATGCCAGATCTCTTATTCGGGAATATATACATTTTTTATTCTCCCAGTAATCCATAAGATCCGTATCAACATCAATGCGCTTCTCCCTATAGGTGCCTATTTCCATAAATGCTTTTCGAGCGTTATCTTCGGAAAAAGTAAAAGTCAAGTTTAAACTTTTATATTTGACTGAAAAAATAAAAGTCAAATTTTTACTTTTATTTACGACCGGAAAAATCCATATTTTAACTTTTATATTTGACTGAAAAGATATAAGTCAATTGGTAACTTTTATTTTTGACCGAAAAAATATTAGTCAATTGGTAACCTTTATTTTTGACTGAAAACATATCGGTGAAAAAATAACAATTATTTTTTAACTTTTTTGATAAAAATCATAACCGTTTACGGTCCCTGATAAACATTGAAAATTGAATCGTTTAAGAATTTTGTGAATTAGTAACATTTTCAAAGACTTTGGAGAAGACCTATCTTCGCGTTTTGGAGAAATTGCATTCCAAACTTCAATCGCGACTTCCCACAACCTGCCGAACTTAACATACGACCATTTTTTACCCAGGCGACGATATGTATGTACATACATACATATGTACTTGAAATAGTACAAGCGTCCCACATGTTTACTTAGTATTGAGTCAAATCGCTCTCTGTCTTCAATTTAATTCATGTAAATACTTTTTTTTTCTAACTGGCAACTACAATAATTGCGCTCACTATTCATTTAAGTTAGCGAATTCATGCGCTTGTATGTGTGTGCACGTAAGTCTACTTTGCAATAACTTTTACAGTTAAAAGCCTACCTTTTGCAACATCATTAACTCACAGCTACTGATTTCATTTTATTTATAAACAATTGTGTCTGATATATATATCTACCTACATACATGCACACAATTAGGTAGTTCACAACATGATAAAAACATAGCAAGGTATAACCGTTCTCTCAATTTGTCGGCCATGATTTTTTTTTGAAGTTTGCCAACATTTTAAAATCATATAAAATTGAAAATAAAAAATTGAAATTGTTCGAAAGTGTTGTTGCTTGAGATTGAAAATGAAAATGNATCAGCAAATTCATGCGCTTGTATGTGTGTGCACGTAAGTCTACTATGCAATAACTTTTACAGTTAAAAGCCTCCCTTTTGCAACATCATTAACTCACAGCTACTGATTTCATTTTAATTATAAACAATTGTGTCTGATATATATATCTACCTACATACATGCACACAATTAGGTAGTTCACAAGGTGTTGTATACTGTCGTATGTATGTCATAAACTTTAAATGGCTAATAAATTATAGTTAAGGGATTCGCAAGATACCATAAAAGTTGTATTATCAAATTTCACATCGTTAAAAAATATGTAGTTGGTTGTGATTTCAAGNAGGTGTTGTATACTGTCGTATGTATGTCATAAACTTTAAATGGCTAATAAATTATAGTTAAGGGATTCGCAAGATACATAAAAGTTGTATTATCAAATTTCACATCGTTAAAAAATATGTAGTTGGTTGTGATTTCAAGTCCTCTAAACATTTATTGAGCCTTTAAAGACTTTACGACATAAGACAATACGACACTTACGACACCTTATGAACCATCTAAATGTGTCAACTACTCTATGCTCACTTACAGATGTGTCTGATTTTTTACATATGTACTCGTACGTTTGTGGCTATGCATATTACTAAGAATGATTTTTTGTTTTTGTTTTTTTTGTTTTTTTAATTTAGTATACATATTATAATTTTTACTTGTTTTCTATTATTGTCTGCAATTGTAGTACAAGGCTTCTTGACAATTGCAATATGGATTGGGCGTCGTGACGTTCTGCCATTTCTGGAAAATAAAACAAATAAATAAATATTTGATTATGATTGTGTAATTTAATAACTTTATTTAAATTCAAGAAATTCATCATCGCTGTACATATGAACATAAATACATATATAACATACCTACCCAGCGGCGCAAATGCACATTACGTAATCGACTACTCCTTCAAAACTTCGAAGGCGATATATCGGAATGAATGGATTACAACCTAGATTACTTTCTTATAGGCATGGCCGCTTTGTGGTTAGCGTCCTTTACATACTGTTTTTGTTTGTAATCGGAAAGTATTATGTGACCGAATACTCTTCGGGCGTTCATTACAATACGTCTTCGTTTGTAAATTGTAATGTGCATTGTAAGCAGACTGCCTACGATAAGCATTACAATTTTAAATTGGGTCAGCGGTGTTTTAATTATTTATTTGTATGAATTACGCAAAGCATATTCTGGACGGACCCCATTTAGCAGTGCGCCGCTGGGTAGTAAAACTGAGCTTTTGGTTTTCCTCTCTGAGCTACCTGCCAGAACGCGGCACTCCGGATAGCCACCGGATGTCTTCTGATGTCTCCAGAACACCATATGCACGGCGAGGCCCAAATATTCGCCGTCACGGAGAAAAACACCATGCTGTGCAAGTAGTTCAGGTTAGGTTATGCTTGCTGCCCTCATCCCGTACAGGAAAAGGGCACACTTAGACCTCCATGGGCCCATTGTGATGTCATATTAGGAACTTCTAGCGTCTCTCCACTTACCTTAAAAGTGGAACCAATTTGTAGCTCTGATGAAGCGCACAAAATCGTAGAACCTGGCCGAGTCCAGTTCAGCCAGACACTCCAAAGAAGAGTGGAGGAACGAGCGTCGACGAGCCCTTGTCAAAGCGGGACAGTGACATAGGTAATGTTCCACGCTTTCGTTTTCCTCCTCATCGCGGCAGCTACGACAGTAAGCGATTGACTGCACACCCATCCTGGTAGGGATGTAGGGAGCCGACATCTACTTGCGGCAGAATCCTTGCCAAGGCATGTCAGAAGGCATCTATATGAATTTCGGTTTAGAAGTTCATAAAACAACCACTGAACCCAACAGGATACAGGCAGGTTATTACCCAAATTCACAGGGAGTCAGTCCCAACTTACACGAACTCCCCATATCTGTTTGACTCAAATATGCCCAGCATGCGGAGAGTCACCCCACGACTCCACACACCACTTTGCATGTCCACGAAAACCCACTCAACTAACGCCCTTTCCCTATGCTTAACGACAAAGAAACCAGCATTAAAGCCAGTAATAAAGCAGCCTTGAAATCCAACAAAGAATTAATCATGCCAACAAGTACTACTTTGGACTGAGTAGGCAACTGCTCTATAATAATGTTCGTGCTGTCTATGGATCAAAAGCATGGACAATGAAAACATCTGATCAGGTGGTTCTTGGAACCGCTTGAGCTCTTGGATTCATGGTACGTTTGGCCACTCTGATGACTCTAAACACAGCGGAAAGGTAAGACAAGGAGTATTCTCCCCAGAGTTAGAACTAGAACATCATTTCAGCTTCTTGACCACCGTAATGTGTACCATGCGGAGACCGCTCGGCACCTAGTTAAAAACCTAAGGAGAAAAGACTGGTGTTTATCTTCTCTGCCTGTCAGACAGCCCTGAAAGCTCATACGGAGACAGCAAATAATCTCCCTGAGGCCACACATTTTTAAACAAAATGGTCCAGCATTATAGAATTCAACTAATATAAGATATTGAATACAACTGCAAATCTGGTGAGTTGGGAAGGTAATGTACGACCACCACCGTTCTTCCGGGGAAGCACATGGTAAGTATAACAGTGGTCATTTTTAAGCAAGATTCTAAGAACAGCACGATGTTAGCGTCCGGGAATGAAAAGATGACCTCTGCTCGAAATTAAACGACTACCTCTCTGAACTTTCTCGCTTTCTAACCCTCTCGTCGACGAAATCAACGATCACGCTCTTACACAACTGGCCCAAGGAGATAAGGCTTCACTTAGGTATTCGCAGAGCTGGGTAAATGCAATTACATTACAATTACAATTACATTCCTCAGTAATTGTAATTAGGATTCAATTCCTTTAGTTCACAGCAAAGGAATCGATTACTTTTTCAATTCCTTGAAGTAATTTCAAATGGAATTGTTTTTTCTTTAATTCCATTACAAGGAATTTCATATTGTAATTGGAATAAATTACGTGCTAGTAATGTAATTTCTTTTATTTCAATTCCTTTGAAAGGAATTGAAAATGTAATTTTTTTTCCAATTCCTTTCAAAGGAATTGAAAATGTAATTGATTTTTTTTCCAATTCCATTCCTCAAAGTAATTTAAAAAGTAATCGAAAAATTTATAAAAAAAAATTGTTTACTGTTGAATTGCAATAGCTTTGTTAAATTTCTTGGTTGCTAACTGCCTTGAATAAACAACTTATACCTAAGTAGTATTACTAATTGGACTTTAAGAAAACTGAATAGCTTAGACTGTAGCTGTTCAGTTTATAGGGTAACGGTTAAATTTTCCAGATCCTACCGCGAACGCGCTTCGCGGCAGATGAGACCCATAAATGTTGCTGCCTTGGGCACTGCTGTTCTCTTGGACTAATCCCTGCGTATCTATAAAAATGCACTGAGTTAATTGTGTATATTATGGTACCCTTAATTCTACCCAAAATGGCGTGCCTTCTGGGGCCTTTGAAGTACTCTTACTGGTATCCTGCGTTACAAATGAGGATAGAGTCCGCTTGAATTACGAGCCCTGTGGGACTGGAGATCCTACCTCCTAAGAGTTTTATAAACAAATTTCATTGCTATGGCTAAATTTTGATGATAACACTGTAACGACGCTAAAATTACACAAAAAACGCCGCGAGACGTAAAATTAATTTTTAGTAGTATGTTACGGATCTGTATACCGTTTTTTTAGATAAGGTCATTTAGTCAAGTTATTTTCATTTTAAGTTTTCATTGCGAATGATAAAAATTCAAACTTTAACATGGTCATACGGTCATGTACGATATGGCGTATGGGTAACATTATTTCCTGCTAGTATTTCATACAAAAAATTATTGCACTTTCACTTAACCCTCGCAAATCACAATTGGCCCTGATCGGGCCTAAGTGTGCTGGCGCCCTCTGAGCCTAGCAGCCACTTCAACCTAATCCTTGCAAACTTGCTTATTTATCCATCGATTTTCATCGGTAGTAGTGTTTTAAGCCGCAAAACAAGCAGATATTGGCTAGTCTGTACTAATATATGTATATTTTGAAAAGCGTTTTTTTTTTCTGTTCGCATAGCTCGAGAAAGGCCGTACCGATTTTTTTGAAATTTCGGAATCTACTGCAGAATTTCCAAGGATGGTTATAGGCTAAAAAAAAGTTTCGATATAGAAAGGGGGCGTGGCACCTCCCATACAAACCGAATTTTTCAAACTGCATATATTTGTGGTACAGGACTAGAACTGGGTATGGTGATATATATATATACATATAAGACCAATTCCATACTCATGGAGAAAATGGGTGGAGAATGGGGCGTGGCACCTCCCATATAAACCGAACTTTTCATATTGCATATTTCTGGAAGTGTTCATGGTAGACTGTAAGCCTTTAGTTTGACTCCCTCAAAAATTTTCCAACAGTTATCTTTTTAAACCTCTTTAATTTGATACCCATATTGTAATATTTTATTTATTTTATCAATGTAATTTAGTTAAATTTTCAAACAGATGGCAACCCTCCTCAAACATATTTTCGGCAGTAAGCCTTCTTAAAACTCTTTAGTTTGACACCCACATGGCAATATTTAATTTTTTTTAACAATTTGACTGAGTTTAAATTTTCAAATAGGAGGCCACCCTCGTCAAAAATACTTCCAGCAGTTATCTTTCTTAAACCTCTTTAACTTAATACCCATATTGTAATAATTCATTGATTTTAAATTAATTAAATTTTAAAATAGGTGGCAACCCACCAAATTTTTGCGATATCATTGGTTCTGGTATTATACCGAATAATAAAAAAAATATTATTCAAATCGGTTCAGCCGTTCTCGGGTTTTGATGACCGTGACATACGAACACAACATTTTTATATATATATAGATATACATAGAAGATGTCCAATGTGTGCTTTCGATTTTAATCTTTGACCACAACAAAAATTCCACATTGTATATTCGTGAATGAACTTTCAGTTTCTCGATTACTTTTACAATTCCTTTGAGTAATTGAAAAAACTAAAGTACGCTTGCGATTCCAGGTAATGGAATTGAAAAAAAAATCAATTACATTTTCAATTCCTTTTAAAGGAATTGTAAAAAAAATTACATTACTAGCACGTAATTATTCCAATTACAATATGAAATTCCTTGTAATGGAATTAAAGAAAAAACCAATTACATTTGAAATTACTTCAAGGAATTGAAAAAGTAATCGATTCCTTTGCTGTGNACAATTCCTTGTAATCTGTAATTGGGAGTAATTTAATTCCTAAAGGAATCATTACGACCCAGCTCTGGGTATTCGTCTTTATAAAAGTAAAATCTCCTCAGCCGAGCTTTTCCTACATGGCCCACTAAACCGGTTCAAAAAAAATGTTTTTCATATTTTCATGACATTAGTAGAGAAAAGACTTGCACCACATATCAATAGACATTTTTTCAAAGGCTCTTGAATATCGGATCAGCGAATCGTATTTGAACCTCAAAACTTTTTGCTATAAATCTATTATCGTCCTAAAACTCAAAATATGTATAATTGGAAGCTATTTCGGGCTATTTCGAAAAAAATTTTAGGTTTCCAGGGGTAGTTTTTAGCCAGGAACCCAAATATGTTGATATTTTTATCCTACCAAGCAATCTAAATTAATAGTAAATATAATCCCCAACTCAAAATTGACAAAATCATGAATATCAATTTTCAAATCCACAATTATCCCCAAAAATTGTCCAATATTCTCAAAACTATACACCATCCTATTCTA